TCACTCCGGCCAGTTTCGATCCCTTAAAGCAGCACTAAGTAGGAATTCCATTTTTGTCAAACAGCGACCCCTAGAGTCGCTGTGGAGTACTTGTACTGTCGTGAATAGCACTCACGCAGAGATGGCTCGCACTCACGGGCGGATCCCCTCCCCCTGTACACCGGTACCTGTTCAGTAGGATGGACGCTAGGGGTGGAACGGTACATGTATTCGTATTGAACCGAAACGGTACGGGCGTCACGGTTCGGTGCACGAATTTGCACGGAGAATACACGGTACAAATAAAAAAAAAACCTCTTTAGCGATAAATTTCGCTCTATTCGCTTTTGGTGTGACTGTGAACGCAGCAATGAACAGGCTGCGATCAAGATTGCAATGCTGGAGTGTGTGTGTGCGCGCGAGAGAGAGAGAGGCGCGATGAACAGTGTGTGTGTGTGTGCGAGAGAGAGAGAGTCGCGATGAACAGTGTGTGTGTGTGTGTGTGTGTGTGTGTGTGTGTGTGCGAGAGAGAGAGAGGCGCGATGAACGTGTGTGTGCGAGAGAGAGAGAGAGGCGCGATGAACAGTGTGTGTGCGAGAGAGAGAGAGGCGCGGGCGCGAATCGCGCGATCGAACAGTGTGTGTGTGTGTGTGTGTGTGTGTGCGCGCGCGTGCGAGAGAGAGAGGGGCGCGCCGCGAATCGCGCGATCGAACAGTGTGTGTGTGTGTGTGTGAGAGAGAGAGAGGCAAGAGCGATCGAACAGTGGAAACATAAAAACATACTCCGTCATTTTTTTCATAGAGGACATCATTAAAACGGCAAATTGTTTACTTTTATTTGTGTACACTCACAATAAAACACAACATTGTGCTTTTGTCAAACTGTAACCTACAACTGTTAACAAAAGTTTTTAATGGTAGTATTATTTTATACGGAAATCAATTATTTATAGTTCAGATGAGAATAAAGTTAGGGTTAATTAAAATGATGGAAAACAAATATATTGATCTGAAATAGCAAATTAATTTTAAATTCATTCAGGTACAATTACCAAACATATCTCAAGGTCTTTTCGTCTTTTTAATAATTTAATTAATAAACTAATGATATAAAACTACTGTCAGTGCACTACAAATAAACTGGTTCTCTGCCTTTATTAATAAAACTTATTTTAAAAAATACAAGGCTTAAGACATTTATAAAAAAGCCTTCTGCATTTTTGTTTTGCTATTCACTCCATTGTACCGAAATCGTACCGAACCGTGACGTCTGAACCGAGGTATGAACCGAACCGTGACTTCTGTGTACCGTTCCACCCCTAATGGACGCTGTAACGAGTGGAAATAAGGTATGGCCCCTTTAAGAGCTGCGCGCGCCCTACCACATGTATATGGCGCCGGGATATTTCTGTTTGATGCTCATTTTTTCAGAATTTTATCAGATCTGTTTTTTGCCGTAAAGCAATTTGTTACCTCGCGAGACCTGATATCACACGATACTTCCTAACACTCAGCCCGGCGGCCCAAAGTTGCAAGGGTGGTTTTGCGGCTCACAGGCACCAGGGGGGTGCGAGACGACCACCATTCAACACGAAATCAGTAATATAAACATTACAATGACTCCAAAGCTGTTCGGTTAAGGTAAAAAAAGTTACTTAGTTCACCTTTAAGAAGCCTATGGAGGAGTGATCCAGCTCTCAGATTTAATCAAAAATATCTTAATTTGTGTTCCGAAGATGAACGAAAGTCTTACGGGGTTGGAACAACATGAGGGTGAGTAATTACTGACAGAATTTTCATTTTTGGGTGAACTATCCCTTTAAAGGGGTCATCAGATGCCCATTTTCCACAAGTTGATATGATTCTTTAGGGTCTTCATGTAAAGTTTGTAAGATACTTTGGTAAAAATTCATCAATGGTTGTGTAAAACAACACTCTTTTTACCTCCTCAAAAACAACTCTGTTCACAGCGACCCGTTTCAGTGCATGTCTCTTTAAATGATAATGAGCAACTGCTCACCCCACCCCTCTCTTCCACGGGTGGTCACACAAGACACAAAAGTGCTGCCTTGGCGGACAGTATACAAATGCTGAGGGCGTAAATATGCTAATACGAGACAGTCCGTCAGTGGTCGTGGGCGGAGCATGAGCAATATGATATCATATTGCTCAGAAAATCCAAACGGCTTATTTATTGAAAGAGTTTAGAGGATAAAAAAAAAGGAGTGAATGGATTTTTCATTGTATGGTGGTCAGGGGCGTCATGCAAGCCAAAATTCTGGGGGATCACAATCTGAGACGTTGCAATTGTTTTCTGACGGGTGATATGGATCATGTTAGGAGGGGTCAGGGGGGTTTCTCCCCCTGAAATTTTTTTAATTCTGGCTGCGAAACATACTATTTCAATGCAGTTTGGGAGGGACAGAAATACCTTAACGGAGCTATAGCAGCAACCCTCCTCTATCTGAGGACTAAGTTAAAGTATGTGTATCTGTGCATTATAAGATGTTTTGAAGGCCAAAAAAACTGGATACAAACAGCTTTAAAACCATGTCACGCAGCTGATTATTTTTCTCTCCTCATCTCCATCACACTTTTTCTCTTTGTTTTTCTCTTGCCCTGTCTCTTCCCCTCCTAAAGTTGAACTTTGACTGATAGGCTTTTCATTTTTGTCTGTCAGTGAAGAAAGTAAATATAGGGTCAACTGATAGGTTGATTTATGAATCATTTTCTCAGACGAGTTACTGAAAGCTACTAGGAAAGCTAGGTAGCCTAACTAAGTTTATTAAATTCATTCACAGTACATATTCATTATTGATCTTATACCTAATACAGGGCCGTAGACAGGGCTTTATAATCAAAGAGGTTCTAAATTTGAGGTGGGTAGGGTGTTCAAATTTTTATTTCTCTGATATGTGCATTTCAAGACGTTTGAAGGCCAAAAAAAGGATAAGAAATAGCCTTAAAACCATGTCAGTGGACAGTAGATTATTTGTCAATACCTGCTCTCACTTCTTATCCATCACTCTTTCTTTTTCTCTCAGTCTCCTGATCTTGCCTTCCCCTCCTAAAGCTGAGCTTTTTTAATTTACTTAAGGCTACAAATTGTACTATATTAATTCTCAATATGTATACATTCATTATTAATCTTGTGCCTGACAAGGAAAACGGCTTTTCCCCTCACAATGACAGTAAACTAATTATTAGCCATTACGAGTCACGTTACATAGGCCTATTTTCAGTTCAAAATGGCGAAATTAGACAAAAGTATATTCGTGTGCCTGATTATTTTTGTCATTCGTTTAACATTTATGAACTAAAAAAACTGTCAAATATGAAATGTTTAGTTTAGCAACTTACATCTCGCAATTGACTGTACACTGAAGCGTCGAGTGAGTCTAAAATTCGCGCTCAGCTTCTGTGAGCATAAAGCCCGCCTCCTTTGATTTCATTGGCCATCTCAAATATTCTGACATTGACGAGCAGTGACAGACCAATGAGGCTCAGATGAACACACACGCGCGCGCACACACACACACACACCCTGTCCTGTGTCCTCTGTTTCTGACGTGCGCTCTGCTCGGCGCCGCTGCGGATTGAAGATGAACAACGTGCTGAATCTGATTATAACAAGTAATTTAAATAAATTATCAGGGAGGAAAAATCTGAGGGGGCACGTGCCCCCTCACTTTGAATGGGCATGACGCCACTGATGGTGGTTGTCCACACACTGCAAAGACACTTTTATATGCAAACACCATATAAAAGTTAATTTTGCATCCGATGACCCCTTTAAAATCGCTTGAATATAACTACTAGACCCTTTCTTCATTACGTAGATTCATGAATATGCAAATTAGCCCCGCCGCCTCCACACCAGCCCATGAGATCCACTTGATCAACTATAGTCTACTGTAATAAACGCTGCCAAATTGCAAGTGGAAATACTGGTTTAATTCAGCCATATATGTTTGAACCAGAAACTGATTTCAGATGATTATACAGGCTCATCTACAAGTCGACGTGTCAGAATGGTAATGTGCTTTATGTAGTGCTCTTTACAACGTCGGACACATGACGGTGATTAATATAAGCCTTTTGCTTGACTGCGTTATCAAACAGCTAATAATTTGTTGCTAATGTTACACAAACTATGTTCCCGTTCACCATCTCAAGAGTCAGACAGCTGCCTTCTAACAGTCAGCATCCATAAACGCTTTGAACAACCCTGAACATCAGTGGAGAAAGGCATATAGTTCATCGTAATATACAGCCTACATAATTCACCAGACACATTGCTAAATGTGGGCCAACACGACTTTTCATAACAACATAAAAAATATACCGGGATAACCTGGCTTCTCTTGAGACTGCCCTGCTTCGCAGCATAGTAAACGATATGCTAAAGCCCGCTCACACGTTGACGTGATTGGTTACAAGGTGTTTTGTGACGTCAGAAACACCAGCGATTTCAAACAGCGTTTTTACAGTTTTTAAGGAGAAAATGGGTTGCACCTGGTTTTTGTCTTAAAGCATAATAAAAACAACACATAGACATTTAAACAACATTAAAAACTTGATTTTCACCACAGGGGATCTTTAAAAGAAACATGACAACAAAAGTGAAAACGCAACGCACCCTGCACTATGAATGACCAAAAATCAGTCAAATTGACACTGCACGTTTAACAAGAATAGATAAGGCAGCACAACACTATTTTGAATACACACTGGATCAGAGGGAGAAGTGACAGAAGTCAGAGAGTTGTGGTGTAGCTGGCTCGCTTGGCACAAGCGCTGTGGGTTAGTGTAGGACTGCTGCTGGCACACAAGACAGGCACTTCTGTCACATAAGGGGTGTGTATTTTTAGTGCCACTGGTCTCATATCTAACACTGCATGTGTGTGCGAGTTTGTTCCACGTTTCACAAGTGTTTGACACTCATACACACACACGTGCAAACTGAGATCATTTCCTACCAATGCAGCAGGTATGTTATGGTTTAATGAAATACACGCTTACCTCTCTGAGTGTTGTCGTGGTTCGGGTCCGGCGATGCGGGCTCATCATTTTCCATTACTTTCCTATCAAAACTCTCCGTGCCAACACCTTATAGTTTAGTTGTGATTAGTGTGTATTATTATTACTAAACTAATTTAATAAACTAAAAATCCACTTAAAGGAAGAGAAGACAACTGCGGACACTTTAACGACCGGGACGCCGCAAACGTTTTAACAAGCACATCGCCATTTTCAATAATCCCTTAAAAGTTGGCTCGTCTGGTCAATAAACAAACAATGTTTAAGTCAAAATGCTCCTCCGCTTCGCTTCGTAGTTGTTTGAATATAACTAACATGCGTAGACATTTCAAAAGGAAAGAAAAATAGTTGACCAGCCCCGGAGAGAGAGAGAGAGAAAGAGGGGAAGAGAAACGGACGGGCACTTGTTGGATAAATAATCGACCGAGTGGCCTCTGGCGCGCGCAATGACTCTGTCTGTCCAGGCTCGCGCAGCGCTCGAGCTGTCCCGAGCCAGTACGGTGTTATGTCATCAATCATTATGTAATAGGCGCTGGAAGCGCGAGAGTATTGCTTTTAACGGGAGACTGAAGGGTAGTTTATGAGCATTTTTGTCCGGTCCACTATAATTGTGTTTTTTATTGTATGCTATAATAACATCACACCACACTACAAGACACTTTTTTTTACTTACAGAAATTCTGTTCTATTTAATTTATAGCTATACCAAACTAGGCTACATAAACTGGATTAAATAATTTTGTTTAAATATTTTAATAATTTTTCAATATCTCTCTCGGACGTTTCAATTTTATTTATTTTTATAAAGAGAGCAGTTTCATTTGTTCTGGGCACATGGTCAATAATCCTTCAGTGATGTGATGTGTTGTGTAATGTGAATTCAGCACTGAACTGTCACTGGATAACATGAGGCGACTATGTTAATACACTCATTTATTCAACTGTTAATCAAGAAATAATTATTAGTAACTTTCATATACATCCCAATCCTTTTCCACAATCCCTAAACCTTATTTTATCATCTTAGGTCTTATGCCCGGTAGGCTACACATAGTACAATTTTAGGCTGTCCCTGATGAAAGATGGCCAATCGTGGTGATTTCTGAGGTCGTGGCTCCTAAATCAATGGTGTTCCTGCTGTAGCCTGGTTCAAAGACGGCCGTTGTCACGGTCTTAAATTGGGACCAAAGATCACCTGTAATAATTTTCTGACAGTGTCAGAGATTTAGCATGATCATCTCAAAGTGTGTTTGCTGCTACGACCTACGTCTGCTGACTAGCCAATAAAAATGCAGCATGAAATGGCGTATTGATCAACGCAGCATGGCGCTTAAAGTTACAACTATACTCACCTCAAGCTCCATTTACAAAATTGGCATGCCAAGTTGGCCTCTTTTTCCTAGCTCCTCTTTGTTTCAGCACAAAAAATGCCACATTGCGATTCATCTTACTCTATTTGTTTACCCCTAGCTTACTGATGATGTTTTCTTCTTCTATACTAACTTGCGTCGTAGCCATTATCGTACAATCTATGCATGTCGTACCCAAGTTTATCAGATCCATGTCGTACAGTGTGATTTGTAATGATCTTATACGATTGCCAAAATCGCACAGTCTGTAGCAGACATTAGAAAAATGTAGAGCTCACATATGGTATTATATATTAAGTCTAGACTCAGACTGTCAGGGTTCTCCAATGTTGAGATTACCATACGAATCCTCAGTGCAAACAGTGAAAGTTGACCACTAGGGCCCCCAGTAAGTGGCGTCGCTACATTTTCTGGGTCCAGACTATTGCATTGGACCTCCTTGAAATAAAAAAAGCTTAGTTGTCTATTATCAATAGTGTAGTGATTTATGAAGCATGCACAGCTCACACAGAAATCACTTTAAAAGCTTTCTGTTGGTCAACACAGCGAATTTGTGTGTCCAACTTGAACCCGATGTGAAATTCCGCATGGGGAAATCTTTCGAGTGGATCCCAATTGCAATGACTGGCTTTTCATGGGGTTGGGGGACATTCAAAAACATGTGTGCAAAAGAATGATACAGCCCTCATAATTTTTTATAAACAAATTGCTACTGATATAAGTTGTACTTTCCTTTCAGTTAATTCATTAATTACTGCTATATTAGGATTGGGAGGAGAGGAGAGCGGGGGGACGAGAGAAAGGGTAAAAGATGTTAAATACCTTAAAACACTCAACACCCCCAAAGGATATATATATTTTAAATTATAAGGTCTTTCTTTTCTTTTCTCTTCTTCTCGCTCTCCTCATCTGTTCTTTTATTGTTGTTTTTTGGTCGATGTGTGTATTTTGTAGAGTTTTTGTATGTATTTCTGCAATGATAATAAAAATAAATAAATAATAATTACTGCTATATTACTTTTATAATTATTAACAGTATAAAAAGCCAACATGCCTCGACAAAATCAATGAAAAGGTTCGTTTTTGACTAAAATTATGAACTGCCTGTAAAATGGATCTAAAATGGATGATGGAAATGGTATTTTGGTCAGACCCAGGTTTGACTGTTAACACCATGGATGGAAAATGTCTCCCCGAGAGTTTCGCTGCAGTGTTCCCACAAAAACCATCACGCAAAGCCAACTTGACCAAACACTCGACACCTCTCCATAGATAGAAACCCACCTCAGACTGCGTCCTACATACATCATATGCGAGGGGCCTGTGGGAGACTACAGGGCCCACCACAGAGATGCAGCTTTAAATATTTCTTTCTATCACTTTAAGTGTGATGCACATTAGGCTAAGGCTAGGAAGGTGTCTGTGTAAAGCTCCAGCTTTACATGAGAGGTAGTCAACATATGAAGTCACACTACACCGCATAACAGTATTAACACAGATGAGTTTAAAATCTACACATATGAATGTACACTCCTCTGATGTGGACAATGTGTCATTCATTACCGTAACACTGCGGTGTCAGTCAGTTCTCTTTACTGGAATATATGCAGCAATGTGGAACTTAGATCAAATGGATTTCATGCACATGCAATATGGATATGGTGGATACATCCTCCCTCCTTTCCTGCAACAGGAAAAACAAGATTCATTGCATATAGAGATTACTGGTGCAATCCCAAACTTAGCAGGATTAAATTGCTTCATTTTTAAATGTTAACACTTGTTTTCATTGCAAATGCATTTAAAATATTGAGGCTAATTGTGATTGATTGATTGATTGAAAAAAAAGAATTGGAGAGTGAATAAATACGTTTTTGCATTATATTTAAAGCTGCCGTCTGTAACTTTTTTGGGTTAAAAATTATCCAAAATAAATTGAGCAAGTACATAACCAACCAGTGTTCAAAACTATCTGCTTGCATTAGCTCGATTCAAAACAGTAAGCTTGTAATAATGTTTTTAATTCCAGTGGTACTGGTGGATTTCCGCGGGAGATTCGAGCATGTCTTTGCGATAGCGGATCCAGAAAGGTTCCAAAGACAATCACCAGTGACAACTAAAGATTCACCCGCTGTAAAATGCAAAAGACTTTGCAGTGGCTACAGAAAAAAAGAGACTTTCCATGCGAAAACAAGGATAAATATCGAAAGGGCATTAAATGTAGTCACGCGATGCTGATGTTGTAACGTTAACAATTTGAGAACAAAGTATAATTTGCACGGTTTGACGTGACATGATAAGCTATCGTTAGATTTAATCAGCGCGATTTACTGCAATGCTTTTTTCCCTTAGTTGGTCAGAACAAAAGTGGATGTTTCTTACTTGTTCAGAGGACATTTTCCAGTGAAAATTCTTATGTTGGTCATACTTCCAAAAAGTAGAATCTGTGATTCCGAATGACAGTATCCACACCGGCGCGGTGACTGACAGCCGCACATTCTCCTCAAAACATTGGATTCATCCACGCTGTGCCGTGCCGAGGCACAACCCACGTAAAGTTGATAATTCCGCATATAACTAATAATTCCGCAGATTTCGAACAGAGAGGAAAAACTACGGACTGCAGCTTTAAATATTATATTATATATATTATATTTAAATATAATGCAAAAACTTTTATTTTTTTTATATTGTTAATAGTACAGAAACCATTTTCCATTTTTAACCTCAGAAACCTCATAGAGTTTTGAAAAGTGGTTGTATTTAGCAAATATTTATTTATTTATACCTATTTTATATTAATATAATTTTTTTTATAAAACATTAAAGGTTTCTGGGGTTAAAATGGAAAAGGTTTATGTACTATTAACAGTATTACAAATAAGTCTTTGCAATGTTTATTTTCAGCTGCATTTGTAATAATTATTTTTATTTAATTACATCTATTCGCTCTCTTTTCAATATATACTATATATATATATATATATATATATATATATATATATAACTGGCTGTCTATATATAAACACAGCCAGTTATTCGTAATATAAGTGAGTGATGGGACAGAGAGGATTTAGTGCTTACATGTGCATAGGTTGAATATCAACAAGATCAGTTGGTCATTGCGTGCACATGAACATGAACACGCACACACACACACACACACACACACACACGCAAACAAACACACAGACACACACCTCAGACACACACCTGCAATCTCACTCACGTGTATAGAGATGTGCACACATGCACATGGCCCTGTGGTGGATTTTGGGCTGCTTTCAGCTTCGTGCTCCAAATAAATAACCCAGTTTTATTGACACAAATAGAATCTGCCAGGAGCGAAACAGGGGTAAAGAGTGTGAGAAAAAAAAGAGAGATAGGTAGCTAGATAAAGTACAAGTTCAGTTTACTAGGTAAACTTTGCAATGCATCCGCTAATGGGGTGTATGGTGTGACTGTGAACGTGTCTAGAATAACAAGCATATGTTCAGACTGACGAGCACAGGACAAAGATTAGTGTTTGTTTGGCAGAAATCTGTCACGGGAATAGGTGTGTGGTGAGTCTACATGGGTGTGTATAAAGTGGTTTCAGGTAGTTTGGTTACATAATGATTACATAATGATTTGGTTACGTATGTATGCATATTATCACACTGATTGCATCAATGACATCAGCTCGTTTTCTTTCAGATACAAAATATGAACTGAAAAATAATTTTTTTTTTACATGTCTACCTACTACCTCAGTGTAGAGTTTGGACTCATCATTTACAAGTGATAAAGGTTTTTCTATCCTAATACTAAGTGCAGAATTCCTCCCTGTAAATAATTGCCACACAGGAAGATTGTCTGACATCACTTCCTGTTTTAAGACATAACAAGGGACTCCCCCGTCCTTCTACAAATTAGATGGAGTTCACTGTGCCTTTAAACGGTGGCATTCAAAGCACTAGCTTTGATGGAAAGTCCTCAACCAAACATTTCAAACATTTTGATTGACACAATCGTGATTTTTTATTTTACTTTAATTCTAATATTAAGTGTGTAAAGCTTTTTTGGCTGCCTGGCTGAAAGTTACAGATGGCCCCTCTCATTTTCTTGCCATTTCCGTTGTCACTCTCAGACGGTACAAGTGGTCATACAGAGTAAGTTAGAGAGCTGCAGACAGTTTTTAGGCCACCTCGGAAGTTAGCATCATCACCCTGGTTTCCTCAACAAAATCTAATAAGATTTTTCCTTTGGCTTTTGGATTAATGAAAAAAAATAAGCCCTGTGACCAACAAGAAGTTTATTATTATTAGGCCTTGTTCATCATGGTAATTTCAATAAGAACTTTTATGAATTTTGAAACCTATAATACAATCGCCAGAAGCAAAAAGCTAAATGTAGACTAAACAAACTACACCACAGTTGCATGACTTCAACATCACTTTAGGCCTACCTTAGAGTTTAGGACAGCTCCTTGCAGTCTTTATTGTAAAATATTCAAGTCTTTATTGTTTGATTTTTAAGACAAGTAAAACCTTTTAAAAAAATCACAATGGGGAATTACTGATGTATTTAATGTCGTAAAATAAAAGATGAAAATATATTGCGCTTGTGTTTACCACAGACCAGCTGGCATTTAACCAAAAACCAAGTGCTAATATGCTAACTCGTTTCCAGGTTTTTGGCCTACAAAAATACGTCATCCCTACAGACTTCACAGCTGAGGTCACGCGGCTTAATTGGGAACGGAAACAGCGACATCTTCTGGATAGAAAGCGACATTGAAGATAGGTTCCCTTAATTAGTTCACCAAAAAATTCAATTCTGTCATCATTTAGGCTACTCATCCTCAGTTTGTTCCAAACCTGTATGAGTTTCTTTCTTCTGAACACAAAAGAAGGTATTTTAAAGAATGTTGGTAACCAAACAGTTGACGGTAGGACGCCGTTGACTTCCATAATATGGAGAAAAAATAGTAGGTAAGCCAATGGCTACCGTTAACTGTCTGGTCAGTGGTTACCAACATTCTTCAAAATATATCTTCTTTTGTGGTCAAACTCATAGGCCTACAGGTTTGGAACAACCTGAGGGTGAGTAAATGATGACAAAAAAATATTAATTTTTGGGTTAACAATATATCCCTTTAATGTTTAAATGCATTTGAAGGACCCTCTTTCAGAAATTAGAAACACTCAGTGTGTTTGAGGTGGTCAGATGCAAAAATTTACGCTACAACAGTGTGACATAACAGTCAGTTTGAAAGCTTGGTTTCTTCAAATGCACTTTTTGCAGTTTTGCTGAGGTCGATTTTTATTTATTATTATTTTTTTTAGATCTGAAACAACATATTTTCTATTGTACAATGACCTTTTATTATATTTGATTCTTCATAACCCCTTGAAGGACTGAATGAAAGTCAGGCATTTTTAATCAGCATACATGTTCATTGTGTGGGTTAGCCTACATCACTCACATTTACACAATACAGACATTAGTGCTATAGGTGTGGTCTAAAGATCGTTTTGGTCTATTCTTGTGTCTTAATGATGACCATAAATGACGAAGTATTTATTAATCCAAACAGAGAAGGAATGAACGGAATGAATCCTTGTCTTTCTCTTATAAAACTTCAAGCATCACCTTTTCTGCTCTTTCTGAAAGTTCAGGTTGTGGAGATTGAGCTCTTGTTGGAGAGTTGGTACAAAATGCAGCAGGAAGACCCCCTCAGGAAGTTTTTTGGCTTTTAGTATGAATAGCCTTACCGTTATCTATAGTTTCAGGCAGTATAAATTTGCTTTCCATTGGGGTGAATGAAGTCTGGTTTCAGATTAGTCACCGCCTCAGCGCACAGGAAGGAGAAACGCCATCCTCGATGACGCAGTGTTGAGAGACCGAGTCGAAAGGGAACTCCAAGTGAGTGGTGAAATAGGGTGGACCTCTTTTTTTTGTCTTTTTTTTTTTGTCTAACATAATGTAGTAATGAAGGCATGTTATAACTTCCCTAGCAATACTAATAAGGTAACTGCACACATTTCCATTTATAACAATTTCCACACTGATTGATTGATGGCTTGGTCCCCCAGTGTACTTTCTCTGCCTTTTAGAGCTGCCAGTAACCAAGAATGGCTCAATTTCAGAGCTCCCTTTCTCAAGCTGCACCGGTTGCAGAGCTTCTTGCCCTGTGATGTTCCTGTCACTGCCCAGAGGTTCCTCATGGACCTAATCAAAGTCAGTGAACCTCATGACCTTTCCGGTCCCGGTCACTGTCATAGCTCAAAGTCAGCAGCCAAAAATGCCTCAGTCCAGGCAGGGCTGGTGTCATGGCCACTTCAGTCCCAGAAATCCCTTTCTTGGTCCACTCACAGGCATTCTTTAGGCAGCTGTGGTTGGAACCTCAAATTATCCAAAAAGGGTTGTTTCAATTTTGCACATTTTCAAAGGAAATTTCAAAACACAACCAGACATTTTTGAATAGTGCTTTAATGGGATTAATAAAGGCAGTTATGAATGTGTTATTCCTTACCAATAACAAAAAGGATCATTTAAATGCACATCTTTCGATTTATAACAAAATGTAAATTCTATTTAACACAATATAAATATAGCACTGCTAAAATATATATTACAGAGTTTTTCATTTTAAATACTTCTGATGCTAAAGAACCTAATTGTCACCATGATGAATAAAAAGTTAGTAACAAAACTTTTGTTATGCAAACATTTTTTTTTTTTAAATATCATATCAATAAATAAACATGGTTAATAGTATTTAGTTTTTACAATAAAAATGAGGTAGCCACATGTAACAGTTACATGCATACCCTTCTGAATACCTCATTCTGAAAACTGAAGTAAAACATCAACTTGATTAGTTGTTCATTGTGCACACACACACACATTTCCATACACATTTGCATACAGATATGCACACAGATGTGCGTGGCTCTGGATTCCAGGCTGCTGTCAATTTCGTGTTCCAAATAAATGGCCCACACTTATTGAAACAAATAGAGCTGTGAGGCAAGAAAGAAGGGGAAAAAGAGAATGTTAAAAAACAAAGGGTTAGAGATAGCACATAATATAAGTTTGCAGGGCTTGACAGAAAGGACCGTCTCAGGGCCAGCGTGAAAGACGCTTGGGACAGTTGATGGAATTGTCACTGACTAGATTAGACATTACATTCATCAACTCGCACATCAGTTGTGGTAAATGGAAGCTCAAGCATGTTTGCTTGACGTGCAAGAAACAATGAGGTTAATTGTCGTGCGTTACGCAGCATGTTTGAGCTTCAGGATGAACCAATGAGGTTCATTCTTGTGTTACGCAGAACGTTTGAGCTTCAGCAAGAGTTTTTTTTTGGCGATTCAAGCAGGTTCAAATGAGCTTCTGTTGAAGTTCACTGATCAATGTTTATATATGAATAAAAGCCTAAATTCAATCTGTTCATCATTTAAAGTGATTGAGTCTCTTCAGAAAATTTGGACTAAACCAGTCAATTCATATGGATTATTTTTACGATCTCTTTGTGAACTTTTTGAAGCGTCAAAGTGGTAGTTGTTTAGCTGTCAATAAAGGATCCGAAAGCTCTCAGATACCATCAAAAAGATCTTTATTTGTGTCCTGAAGATGAACGAAAGTCTTATGGTTTTGGAAAGACATGAGGGTGAGTAAATGATGACAGAATTTTTATTTTTGAGTGAACTATCCCATTAACATCTATTTAACAGAAGCATTCAAGTAAAAAATAAAGAAATTGAATCAAATGTAAAAAATAATCATTGCATAGACATTAATGTATTCACTACAAATAAACTGATTATTATTAAACTTTTTAGAGTGGCGTATCCCCTGAGGAATTTAACATTCTTCAGAATGAACAGCAAACATCAGCATTTTTTTTATGTACCCCCTTCTGTAACCACACGTATCCCCAGGGTACTCATACCTCAGTTTGGGTTAATGTTACACATCCATTTTCTCCCCAACAGTTTACGTTGACATCAGACAGGGGTCTCCCTACCCTACCCTCCCTACCTACCTGCAAAGTTCAGATCCAACACACCTAATTATCAAGTGCTCCTGAAGATCTTAATAAGCTGCTTCAGTTGTGTTTGATCAGGGTTGGAGCTGAACTTTGCAGGAAGGTAGAGCTCCAGGAACAGGATTGGGCAGCCCTGACTTAAGACATAACCGACTATGCTTTCGTGAATACTCACCAAGGCAGATATTTTGAAATAAGTATCTGACTGTTCAAGCGCAATACGCTGCGAAAAAGAATTGAATTCGGGATCACATTGTGTAGAGAGGCCTCTTTCTGTGTGCGCTTCGGGTGTGTCAGTCAGAGCAAGTAATGCATCGAGATCTTTTCTGTGGCTTATTGCGCTTAACTCTTTTTAACATCAAGCATGTGCCGCACTTTATTTTCTCATTCATGCATGTTCTTTCCACGAAAAACTAAATGTGTCCAAATATCTGCTTTCAAGAGGTTAGGTGCATTATCTGGGAATGTCAGATGCAAATGCTTTGCTTCCCATAATAGACTGTGACATGTGATAAGGGAACGATTGTGTGACTGCAGACACATGAAACAATGTCTAACTAGTATATCAGCTGTGTGTTATTGCCATGCTTAAGGTAGGTAAAATGTGTGAAGTCAGTCTACAAGGATGTGCTTTTGATGTGGTTTAAAGATTTGATCAGTGTTTATGCATAGTTTCACAGTTGATGGCTCATTGAAATTAGCCTGGTAATACCAAACTCTGCTACTTTGCTTTGCTTCGTGTGGATGGCATATGGCATAATTGAAAAGTGTTTTCTTTCTCGCGTTGGGGGATGGGGCTTGTCTGAAGTATAAAATCATTGGTTACCCGTAAGCCAATCACATAACGCAATCACCTCTCTCTCCAACTTAAACATCACCTCCATTCAAAATGTTTAACAAACACTCTTCTTGTTCGGGCTTCAGTTTGCAAATGACGGGAATATTCTCCACAACGGAGCGAATTGCATCCCGTATCTCCATATCCGCGGTCGTTTTCTTTTTCCCTAACCTAAAATTCAATCTTAAACTCGGCGCTTAGCGTCTACGTCACAGCTCTCAGCCCGCCCTCTGTTTGTTGATTGGCCGGCTGTTTTCAGGCCAGAGGAAAACTGAGAGATAGGTCGCTATCTCAGACTGAGTACAGAAGCGAACTGAAATTGAGCGGAAGTACGAAGTCTGACGTAGTCAGGCTACATTGAAATCAGCTTGTTATCTTACATACATAAAGTGCATAAGTTTGTGTGTTTGCACTCTACCTGTGGCCTCAGTGTAGAGTTTGGACTCATCAGTGTTGGTCACTTTGCAAGTGATGAATGTTTTCCTCCCCTCTATTCGATCCAGAGCGCAGTGGATTAAAACCACACTGCCCAGAGGCATTGGACTGTACAGGAGAACAGAGTTCAACAGGTGAGATCACACATAATCAATCCCTAAAGCCAGTGTAAACTGGAAAAAATAAGCCTACAACTACAACTTAAAGACTGAAGTACTGAAACATTAGCTCACCTGCGGTAGTCAATGTTGAGATTGGCAGTCATAATGGGTCCTGACAGGTAACCAGCAAGAGAACCTGTCACTGTGTCAATCATGGTGGCTATGGCTCCACCATGGACATGCCTGAGACACAGGAAAAAGGTGTAACATCATTTCCTGTTCTCCCATTCACACAAATAAAAGGGTGGGATTCAATTTTGGGCAATAAGCGTAGAAGAGAGCTCTTCCTTACCCCGGTGCACCCTCTAGTAAACGTCCTGCCTGAAACACACAAACGCAGCTCTTCTCCTCCTTATTGACAAACACCACATATTCAAACGTTGCTCCTTGCTCTTTAACATTTCTTGTGAAAAGTCGAGCTTTGGCCTGGATGAGTTTGCTGAGGTGGATGCCGCCTACCAGACAGAAACAATGTGACATTTGCTCTTACACTCAATAGCATTACCATGTCATTTTATTTGACTGATTACAGTGACTAGAAGTAACCATGCAAATACATATTAATCACTTACCAGTAGCATATTTAATGGAGCGGTTGTAGCTGGGCAACTTCTTCCAAGGAGCCCTTTTTTTCTCCTCGCCATTTTCAGTGTCATTGTCACACAGTGCATTATAGTGATCGAAAGCCTTGCACATCTCTGGACTCCATGACGAGTTGGGCAGGCTGAAGTCCCGCGGCTGAAATGAGAACGGCCACAGCGACATCGTCTGGAGGACAAAGAGTGACATTAAAGTTAGTTTTCAATAAAGTAAATCAGAGCAGTGTTCATTCTGTAGTCATGTTTATGGGCAGGTCTTGTAGTGTTTGGTGTGCTGCCATCAATGGATGACAAATTTGTGTGAGTATATAATATATCCACATACACCAACACGGTAATAACTAATAATAAATTCAGCTTTGCATCACAGGAATAACTTGTATTTTAAAGTATATTAAAATAGAAAACCATTATTTTAAATTGAATTATTTCACAATATTGTTACAAAAGCTTTCTATTTTAAATCAATCCTGTTCTTTTTTTTAAATGCATATTAATCAAAAGAATCCTGAAAAAAGTATAACAGGTCATAAAAAAATTAAGTAGCACAACTGTTTCACGTGTGACACTGAAGACTGGAGTGATGGCTGATGAAAATTCAATAAATTATATCTTAATGTATATTCAGATAGAAACCATTATTGCTTTTTTCCTGTATTTTTGATCAAAATAAAATGTTCTGTATTTTTGATCAGGTTTGAAGAGCATAAGAGACTTTTGACCGATACTGTGTGTGTGTGTGTGTGTGTGTGTGTGTGTGTGTGTGTGTGTGTGTGTGTGTATATGTGTGTGTATGTGTGTGTGTGTATATGTGTGTGTGTGTGTGTGTGTGTGTGTGTGTGTGTGTGTGTGTGTGTGTGTGTGTGTGTGTGTGTGTGTGTGTGTGTGTGTGTGTGTATGTGTGTGTGTGTGTGTGTGTGTGTATATGTGTGTGTATGTGTGTGTGTGTGTGTGTGTGTGTGTGTGTGTGTATAAAATGTAGCCATCCATTGATGGCAGCACAACAAACACTAGACCCGCCCATAAACATGACTACAGAATAAAAATGAATTATCAGCAGTTTAAAACAAATGGGAAAATGAAAACTTTACCGAGATAGGACTGCTGGTGTTGAATGAGGACTGTGTGTGCCTGTGTGTCTCTTTAGAGAGCAGCTGATTAAACGAGACTCCGTTCAGTCCATTAGAGATCCGCTGCTGTCCGTGGAGGAGGAGGCCAAGTCTTCTTCTCGCTATCTGCCCCAACATGCTGACTGTAAAGCAGTCTGTTTTCAGAGGAATGTGGTGGCCGTCAATCCAGAACAAACACAGCAGATGTGTTATTCTTCTAGACAGGATAAACGCCTAAATATCTAATATTCAAATGAATGTGACTTTCTTTTACATGATGTAACGTTAATTAACTGAAGGCATTTCCACACACGCTCTGTCAACAGAACCCGCAAACAAGCGATAGCCGCTTAGTCCTTTTTAAGCAATAAACTGGAAAACGAAAGAAAGCCTTTATCAATTAGTTAGCGATATAACATTGTATAAAAACGACAGCCAACTTTAACGTGGATGGGAAATACCTGCCGGTGAACTGTGTGACTTTCACATTCACGGACGTCATCGGTGATTGGCTAATACACGCACGCGGAGTGAAAACGCGTGTCATTGTAACCACGTGACAGTAATTCATACGTCTGATTGGTGGGCTGAAGTGTTACAACATCCTGTGTGTCTGTTGCCACAACAATCCGTGATTCCCGTACTTTCAGCGCACTGCTGGAATCTACTGTTTTTATCATTTTACATTTAGTTTACCTGCATCTGATGCACAATGTTTGGTCGAGAGGCGCGTTCAACAAACAAGTGTGTGCAGAGAGAGAGGGACAGAATAAGGGTAGGCTACAGAAATGCTGTTTGTCTTTTATAACTTTACAGTCGCAGGGTCCCCAGAATAAGAAAAGATTAATAATAATAACTTAAATGACATGAACTAAAATTACTATATTATAAAATTATTAACATACACTATCGTTCAAAAGTTTGGTGTCAATACTACTAATACTTTTATTCATCAAGGATGCGTTAAACTGATCAAAAGTGCCAGTAAAGACAATTATAATGCTGTACTTTTGAACTTTCTGTTCATCAAAGAATTTTTCCACAAAAATATTAAACAGCACAACTGTTTTCAACTGTGATAAAGACAAGAAATGTTTCTTGAGTATCAAATCAGCATATTAGAATGATTTCTGAAGGATCATGTGACACTGTCCAGATGGTGCTGAAAATTCAGCTTTGCCATCACAGGAATAAATTACATTTTAAAATATATTAAAATAGAAAACATGCATTTTAAATTGTAACAATATTTCAATTTCAAATTTAGCCGATTATTAATTAAATGTTTGAACATGTCGTGTGTTTTATATCTTCTCAAACCCTCAGTACATGTAGTTTTATGCTTATGTTTAACAGCTTTCTTTCTTTTTTACAGAAAGCTGAAGAGATCTCGGACAGGACTGCTGAGCTGGATACGTGTGTTTAAGTTGATTTAAAAATCGTGACGTTTTAAGATTTAGTCTTTTAGAAATTTAAAAGAAAGAAACATTATGACATAAAATGAATAAGAAATACTGCAGTAGGCTATTTTTATGTCTCTAATCCAGTATGGATCATTTAAATGACTCTGTCTTACATTAAGAGTTGAATACATCAGTAAATATATACTGATATACTATGTACTTGTTCCAGAATCAAGAGTGTGATGTTGAAAGCTGAATTTGAGTGTCTCGGCCTTGCTGTTTATGAAAAAGCCCTGAAACGCATAGAGAGGACCACACAGAGAGAGACGGAGTTGTGGAATACCTCTCTCACTCTGGTCAGTAGAGATATCTGTGACTTTCTTGAAAAAATCTACTGTGAGAGTGAGTAATTGATGACAATATTATCATGTTTGGGAAAACTAACCCTTTCAAAGAGTAGTTGCAATAACAGTATATCATCAGTAGGGGGTGGTATAAAGACACGAGCGAAGTCAGATTGAATCAGGAAATACATTAGGCCTAGATATTTGAGATTCAATGTGGTCTTCTTACGGAAGCTAAAGTTAGTCAAACATTGTTCAGCTTAAGGTTTCTCTGGTCAATTTTCAGTTAGTAGGTTTATTTGTCCCAGCTACTGAGAAAGACATAATAACAGCTAGACTACGCTACGCATACACCGAAAACGGTGAGTTCTGTCAACAGTTGTATTCGACAAACAGCAGGTGTCAAATGGAAACGATTCAAATGATTAGTTTTACTTTACTTTGTTTATCCACTTTTAATCCTGTAACAGACTGGACAAACACAGTTATCTTGAGTGCTCATCCTTATTGTGCCCATCTTGGTCGGTCCTATATGACAGCAAACTGACAAGTATAAGTAGACAAGTGTTGGAACAAATGAACCAATACCAAGGAACTGGAATTGTGCCAAATTTCATTGTTTGTTAAAAAAAAAAAAAAAATTCAGTCTAAGATTTAGGCCTGTGCATTTCAAATGTATGACAAATTTCCATTACATTGAACTGAATAGGCTACATGTGATGTATAGTTCTAATAAATACATGTTTTAATTTATTTATTTATTAACCTTTATTTAACCAGGTTATCTCATTGAGATTTAAAACCTCTTTTCCAAGAGAGACCTGGCCAAAATGACTGAATTGACAGCGCACAATAACAAATATGAACAACATGAACAACGTACAACAACATAAACAATCAACATTAGACTATTTAAAAGTACAATTTAAAACATGCTATGGATTTTAAAAGAACTAATTATTGATAGTTACATATTAAAAACAGTGACAGCAATTTATAGCATCTATTTAAGAAATACTATGTGTATTACAATACTACTATGGCAACTATAATTGTATTAAATAATATGCTTGGCATATAAAATCAATTTAAAATAATTTGTCTATTGTATAATATAAAGGATTTTTTTTTTTCGGTGTTGCCCAACAGCCAACTTGAGAATGTCGGAAATGTTAACAGTTGTTGGGATGTTTGTGAATCAGCTCTATTATACCCCACCTTTTCAGCATTGTTTCAATTTGTGGTATTTGCATTAAAGGAAGATGCAAATATAGCTTTGACTTGTAAATGTTGTTGATATTGACGGCAGCAGGAAAGGGTTATTATAGCATGTGTTTCTACAGGTAAGGAGAGAAGCGTTACGCAGTTTGCTGGAACAGGAGAGACAGATGCACATAAGAGAGCTGAGCAAGATTGACCTGGCCATTTATCAACAAAGAACATAAACCATAAACCATTAAAAACATATGCCCAAGTTCAGCCTTCAAATTCACAGCTTTCTAATATACATGTTTGTATATGACAGTTCAAATGAGTTTTTCTTCAAATGAAAGTTCCCTTTAAATTGAACCACTCCTGTGATCACTTAAAATCTTATATCAAGCTCATTTTGGTCTGGACAGTAAGATTACCGTATATCATGTTTTTATAAGTCTTTTATTTTCACAATGGCTGCATTTATTTGAAAAAAAATACAGGCTTGATAGACAAAAATATAGTAAAACAGTAATAGTATCCCATTGTTGAGTGTGCATTACTAATTAATTACTGCCATATTATTCCTTGGAAAAATTTAAGTAACAGATTACTTTTAATTTCTCTGTAATTTAATTACAGTTACTTCTGATGTATTTGTATTAAATACTGTATAAACTATAGAACTATTCTATATAAAACAATAGTGTATTTAACTTCCAAATGTAACCTCTAATGTTAAAATGTGTCCCTTGTCAGTTTAAGAATAATGTGTTCATTTTTATATTATTTATTGGAAAGAATTAAAAGAGCAGTTTCACGTCTTTCCTTGTATCTGTAACATTGAAGCAAGGACGAAGCGGAGAGAGAATCCACATGCAAGCACTACTTTAATAAAACAAACAGGTAATCCAGGGCAAACAACGGCACTCAGGACAGGAACAGGAAACCACTACAAGCAAACAACGACCGACAAACAACAACTGAAGCACAGAGGTTAGGCAAACAAGCTAAACAAGATAACAAGGGGGCGGGGCTAATTAGAAACACCTGGAGAGACTAATAAACAAGAAAAACTACAAAAGGACTACAAAACATGGCACAAGGAGAACACAAGACAGGAATCATGACAGTATCGTTTAACTGAGGTTGATATGGGATTTAGAAAGTAATAAGTAATACTTTTTTAGAGGGAGTAATTACAGTAATCTAATAACACTGTTGAAGATGTAATTAGTAGCCAGTAATTACATACTCTTTGGAGTAACTTACACGTTTTATTATCCTTCAGAAATTATTCTATTATGCTGATTTACGAGCTGATTTATTCACGCCATTATTAAGTGAAAACATTCACTATGGAAAAAAAAACTAAAAAAATTGGAACTATGGATAGTTGTGAGCAAACAACTTAACTTAAACTTAAAATGAACTTAAAAATATAAATATAGAATAAATATGGTAATCTGAAAATAGTCCTGTTTTTGATGTTCAGGAATTACAGGTTCCTGTTATTACTGTTGGAAGATCTATTCTTTTGAAAGAAAGGGAGGGTAAACACAGGTCTGTGTGTCCTTTTCTAACAACACGCATTTAAATTAGCTACCATGAAGAAAAATAATAGCGTTGGTAAATATGTACGTTCCCACCCTGAAGATCCTGCATTAAGCAACTTCTCCAATAATAGTAAAAGGTGAATTTCAAAAACCTTAAAGAGTGACTCGAACACTTACTAGAGACTGAGTAAAATGCCATGAATGTGGAAAAACAGGTTAACAGAACTGGAAGAATGGGACTATTGTCTAATACTCATTTGTATCATATGATAAAGCTCACAATGCAAGTCACTGCTCATGAATAAATTAAAACCGTTTAAACCGTTAAAATAAATTAGAACGTTTCTAAGACTATAGGCTATCTTTTTTATATATTTGTACAGTTGTGCTCAAAAGTTTACATCGCCTTGATTCATATTGTGTTAAAAAAAAAAATATTATCTTGTATTAAAAATGGTACAAACATTCGCTGATGCTCCGGAAGGAAACAAGATGCATTTTCGAGCCGGGGGGGGGGGGGGGGGGGGGGGGGGGGGGGACTTTGAACAGGATGAAGACGTCCAAATTTTTCTTATTTTTATCTTTTTTTTTTATCTTTTTTTTTTTTTTTTTCATTTAATAGGCCTACTGCCCTTTGGAAGCAACAGAAGATACTTACATGTTTCCCGGAAGACAAATCAAGTACAATTGAATTTACCTCGACATCAGTGAATGTTTAAACCTTTTTTTAATAGTTAATAGTCCGTTTGAATCCCTCAATTGTCCTCAGTGTGAAAAGATTACCTGCTGGAATAGGTTAAAATATGCAAAAGATGCTGTAAAACTGAAGAATTTGCAGGACCTGAAGGATTTTTCTGAAGAACATTGGGCAGGACAAACAAGAACAACCATCACAAAACAGTCGTGGATCATCCAGGTAACGATGCACAGTATTAACCTCTTCCACTCTAAGGCATATTTTGGAATTCCGCCTGAATTTAACACACCCAAGTTTAAATATTTACCCTAGACACATACAGTGTAGGAAATTTAAAAAGCTAGTGTCATTGTACAGAAAACCCTTCAGATTTATTAAATCAGATTGCAAAACTTCATAAATAGCATTGTATGCTTTTAAAATATTACATGACAATAAAACTTGTCCATCCTCCCACATATTTTTTTGATGGCCTGAACAGACACACCCCATCCTCCAACCCTCACGGATCCAAGATTACACACCTAATTTTCCTAAGAATCTTTGGTTTAAGCCGCTGCTGATTGCTCAAGTGAAATGATGCAATGCAAAAAAAGACTTCTTGCGGTTGAGTTACTGTATGATGAGCAAACAGACAATACCAGAGAGTAATATAGTGTTTGTTTAAGCATACACTGGAGGGGCAAAATGAAGCAATGTTGGGTGTGTTAGAAATTTCAGAAGCGAAGACTAGGAGACATGGATGTATCTTCAGCAGGATTCTTTATTGAGAACATGTGCTGTTGGCATCAATTCTAACTGTGGAAGCTATACACTGTAGTTCTATACACATTTTAGGGGACAGTCCTTACAAGTTAAGACAAAGCACTTAGGCGACGACCTTAAAAAGCATGCAAACGAAGTATTCGAGTATAGGAACCCAACCCAGCTTCTAAGGTTTCACAAGTCCTAATCCAGTCTCAGTAACCTGTTTTATTTGACACAATACAATACAACCTGTTTTATTTTTTACAATAAAGAGAAAAGGACTGGCAGGAATCTCTTGCAGATGAATAACAGAATTATTCATCTGATATCATCATCATAAACTTAATGCTTAGTTCAATGTACTTCACTTTAGTTTTTCATTTGATGTTAGGTCAAGACGTAGGATCAGCAGATCATAAACAGATTCTTAAATTTGTAATCCCACAGGGAAAACGCATTACAAGTAACACGAGATCAGTAATCAGATTACTTTTCCAAGTAACTAGTAAAGTAACACATTACTTTTAAATTTACAACTAAATATCGGAGTTACTTTGTCAAATAAGTAATGCAATTTACTTTGTTTTCCCATGTATTGACTGACACCTCTCCTGCCCACATGTTGAGAGAAATCGAAAATGAAGTGCAGAGGCGTTGTGTGTGAACATGATGGTTATTGTAGTTCTAGACTAACTGTAAGCAGGCATTTACTAATCTCACTTGCACAAAAAAAGATTCAGTATTCATCAAAATGCTTAAAAACAGTGAAATGCAAACTCAGAATATTACACAAACCTGCAATAATTAAATATGTTAAATAATGCAAATGTACTTTATGTATTTATCTCACTTTCAGGGCCGTAGGCAGGGGATCCGGGGTCCCGGTGCAGGTTGTTGCTGTGGGCCCCCCTCACCTGTTCCTTGTCCCACTCGTTTGAAATCGCAGGCACCTTCATGCATTACTTACTTTATAAAGTAACACCATTAGTATACTTTTTTTAAGGAGTACCGTAATATTGTAAGGCATTACTTTTAAAAGTAACTTTCCCCAACACTGAAAATAAATAATTAACGTAAAAAGGAAATGTGCAAAGCTTGACATTTAAAAAAAAAATAAAAAAATTTGCAACTGCCAAGTTTTTACAAAAACCAATGAGTCTTTTTTCCCACATCAGTCTTTATAACACATTTATTTAGTGCATTGTTCATAAAGAAGCACATCCATACCTTATTTTATGAAATAACATATTAAACAAAGTTTAAAAAAGGTGTGAAGAAGAAAGAAAATATACACAATCCCCATCCAGAACTTTTTTCCTGAGCACTCCCTGGACACTGACTTCTGAAATCCCTTCACAGTGCAATTGCGCACAACTTCCTATGAACAGACAAGCAAAAGGACCAGTGTTAAAAACATTCAGGTGATTCTGTAATTCAACCATTACAGTTCATAATCAATGGAATGAATTGAAATCAACAACTCTTACTTTGTCTCTTCCATTGTAACATCCACAAATTTGCAGATCTTTAGATCTCTCTCTAGAATGCTCTTTTTTAGACCCTGAATCTCTTCCTCAGCTTTCTTTTTTTCAGCTTCTTGGTCTCCTGCAGAGTAACATGTGAGATGAAACATTGACAATGAGCATTATATTATCCACATACCTTCTGACACTATAGTTCTTTAGTTCTATAATAAACCCCAGAAATAAGAGTAACTCATAATTACCCTTTAGTTTGTTAAGTGCTTCTTTTGCTTCATTGCTCTTCTTCTCTAATGTACCCTGAAACGGAGAGAGACAGACAGAGAAAGACTGTGAGAGCACGTATAAGCTTATGGTTTATGGTCAGACAAAACAGGAACACAGGGCTCAGTTTAACAGAAGAACAGACCCGTCGACAAACTTGATTTGCATAAATGCTGTAAAACATCCATGCAATGTAATACAATACTGTAAAGAATCCGAAAACATAAGCACATTCCAACTTTCAAGAGACTCATATTTTAGGAACCATTCAAATTAGAGCAAATATAGACGCCTAAAAGACAACACTATACTGTGCAGGTTTGTAAGATCTTTTGTAAGAAGTATCTTATGCTCACCAAGGCTGCATTTATTTGTCCAAAAATACAGTAAAAACCTTAATATTGTGAAATATTTGTGCAATTTAAAATGACTGTTTTCTATTTTAATATATTTTAAAATGTAATTTATTCCTGTGATGCAAAGCTGAATTTTCAGCATCATTACTGGGTCATTACAGTCTTCAGTGTCACACGATCCTTCAGAAATCATTCTAATATGCTGATTTGATGCTTACAATTTTTGTATTATTATTATTATCAATGTTAAGAACAGTTTGTTTTTGTGTGGAAACTGTGATACAGTGTTTTCTTTGATAAATAGCAAGAATAGAATTTAATACATTCTTGCTAAATACAAGTAATTAAAAATATATATATCTGACCCCAACCTTTTGACAGCTATTATAGTGCATGTGTGTGTGATCAAACTAACATATTGAAATTTCCCCTCGTACTTTGCGTTTATATTATTATCATTATTATAGAAGTAATGTATTTGATTCAGAAATGGCAAGCTGTCTATTGGTTCTTTGTTTTACTTATCTTGAACAGTTGCAAAACTGGATAGTTTTCATTCCATCTATAAACAGTGAGTTCCAACTGAATTGAATGTTTGCCAATTTAAACTTCATTATCACTTCTGGTGGTTTATTTAACCACACCAAAATAGCTTGCAAATGTACAATTCAACAAGTAACAATACAAACATTTGTTTTGCCCTATTGGCAGGAGTCACATCTCAAACCTGGATACTGTTTCATAATATTAAATATGATCATATAATGTGGAAATGTAATCATTCTGTGCCCCTGTAAATCTTTTGGGAAAGTCCTGTGTTTCTATAATTCACTGTTAATTACTTATTCAATTCATATTTATTTGTATAACGCTTTTCAAAATACATTTAGTTTCAAAGCAGCTTTACAGAAAATGCATGTGTCTACATTACAATTTAGAGCTTATGCTTTTGCGTTGATTAATATTTGAAGCATATAATGTGTATATACATGTATGAAAAAAAGAATGAATCCAGTTTTTCACCATTTTATCTAAAAAATTATTTTAAAGTGCAAATATTTTTGAATAGCTACACTATTCAAGTGTAATGTCAGAAAGAGTAAAAAAAAGAAAAAATAAATTAATATGTGTACCAGTGTTGGGGGTAATGCTTTACAAGTAACACAAGATAAGTAATCAGATTACTTTTCCAAGTAACTAGTAAAGTAACACATTACTTCTAAATGTACACCTAAATATTGTTACTTTGTCAAATAAGTAATGCAATTTACTTTGTTTTCCCATGTATTGACTGACACCTCTCCTGTCCACATGTTGAGAGAAATTGATAGTGAAGTGCAGAGGCGTTGTGTGTGAACATGATGGTTATTGTAGTTCTAGACTAAGGCCTATTTTTATAACCGCAACTTTTTTTTACGCGGTTCGGCCGATCGTCCACACGGAAACGCAGTATCAGGTCACTGAAACTGAACATTTTTGAAAACCCCTGCCAGGGTGAGGATTTTCAGATACGCCGGTTACAGTGTTGTCGTGTATACAGTAAAACCGGGGGTTTTGCCTTTTTTTGCTGACATCAGAGTGTGCGCCGTTATCCGCTGTGTTTGACGTCAGATTGTGCGCCGTTATCAAGGGGGTAATCCATCAGCCGGATTTTGAACCCTTGCGGGAGCCGCCATTGTAGCAGAACTTCACTTGCTGTTAGCATTCCATTGACTCCCATTCATTTTGGCGACACTTTGACAGCGAATAACTTTATATCTGAGGTGTCCAAAGACTTCATTTGTCCATTATTTATTTCTAAATAAACACTACTTTGTACCTTACGTTATGGCCCCGTAGAAGCCGTTTTAGTTAAAAACAGGCTAACGATTGCGTCATAACCACGCGACTTTATGTCGCACAATAGAGACATTACCGTATAGACAGGAGGAGAAGCTCGCAGGCAATCTTTTACTGTCTATGAGGCAATCGGGGGGACATAGAGGCATAAAGTCAAGGGAGAAACCCATAGATAGAGAGTCCATAAAAACAACGGGACAAAATATTTCAACAACGTTTTTGAGGAATTAGGTGATTCAGATTTGTTTTGCCACAGCTACTAGAAGATGTACAACTGTCAGACTGTCGTCACGCTCAGTTTGAGCCTGCGCAGTCGCTCAGACATCAGACAGGAAGTGCAATAATCGGGCTTCAAGTCTTCTTCGTTGAAATCAATGGGGTCGCTGTGTCCATTTCTTTTACTGTCTATGGCCATTATCTGCCTACCGGAACCGAAAATAACTTTTTGTTAGGCTTCTGATTGGCCAACATGGCTTTACGGTTAGGGTTATATCGCCGCCTACTGGTGTGGAAGGCTCTTGATAGCGTGTTTTTGCGTTTTCATGTAGATAGAGATTTTTTTTAAACCGAGCATATGTGTGGACGGGATTTTTTTTTTAAATGCAGGAGGAAAAACTCTGGTTATAAAAATACCCGTGTCCGTGTGGACAAGGCCTAAATGTGAGCAGGCATTTACTAATCTCACTTGCACAAAAACAGATTCAGTATTCATCAAAATGAATAAAAACGGTGAAATGCAAACTTAGAATATTATGCAAACCTGCATTAACTGTCCTAAATTACAAAATTGCCGATCCAATTCAACCATATTTTCTTCTGCGATCCAGAATGACAGCTTTGAAAGGTTTGTTTGAGCTGCGCCCTTCACTGTACAGGTGTGAATGTGCATTTCAGCCTGAGGCTTATTCATTTCACTTTTGGTGTGAAAGGACCTTTACATTTGCCAAAAATATAAGGGTTTTTTTATATTAAAAAACAAACAAGCAATCCCAGACCAGGTGAGGAAAAAGTAACACAAAAGTAACGTAAAGCATTAGTGAGTAAGAAATGCAAATAGTTACTTTTTTAGTGAGTAAAGCATAATACAATACTTTTAAAACTTTCCCCCAACACTGACTTGTATTCATAAAATTGATCAAAAGTGACACTAAAGGCATGTATAATGTTACAAACGATTTCAGTTTCAAATGAGTGCTCTTCTTTTGAACTTTCTATTCATCAAAGAATACTGAAAAAAAGTATCACGGTTTACAAAATATTACAAGCAGCACAATGGTTTTCAACATTGAGTATACTACGAAATGTTTCTTGAGCTACAAATCAGCATATATATAATATTAGAATGATTTCTGAAGGATCGTGTTACACTAAAGACTGAAGTTAATAATGCTGAAAATTCAGCTTTGAATCACTGGAATAAATTACATTTTAAAACATTAAAATAGAAAACAGGAATTTTTAAACTGCAATAACATTTCAGAATATTACAGTGTTTCCTGTTATTCTTGATCAAATAAATGCAACATTGGCGAGGAAAAAAAAAATCTTACCGACCCCTAACTATTAAACAGTAATGTATATAGCATTCCACGCCGCAGGACGTCAACTTCTCAAAAGGATTTAATGTCACCTAGCCTCATATCACAGACAAAAGAGCAATAAGGAGTTGCTGTGTGCAAAGGCAGAGAGAAATTCAGCACAAATGAATTAATCCAAATTTGTGATTGATCTAAAGTGAATGAATCAAATTCCATCAACTCTTGCCTTAAATCAGAAAATCACTGTAAAGCTCAACTGCTTCAAGATTATTTACAATACCTTGTCTGTATTGCAGGTGCCGAGTTCCTTTTCAGATGCAGCAGTGTCTTTCTTAAAGTCATCCCTCTGTTTTTTGAGCTGATCTCTCTGTGTTGTCAGAGCACTAAGCTTTTTAGTGATCTCGTCCACTTTCGTCTTGGCTGACATGATTCCATCCTCCTTAAACTTCACCTGTTCACTGGAAACAACGATGCGTGTTTGCAGGTTGCGGATGTTGAGCTCCTGCTGTACGGCCTGGTAGGCTATAATCAGCAGGGCACATAAGGCCAGGAAAACCATTACCGACATGCCTCTCATCCTGAGGAAATAAAGGTAGGAAGAGAGAGGAAGAGAAGACCAAGTGAGTTCCTCAGGGGACCGTTGATTTTGTTTTCTCTCTCTTTCTCTCTGTAGACACAGTCACTTGGTTCTCATGGCAGCAGCACCTATGCCGTCGAACGAAACTGACACAACTACCTGTCTTGTCTTCATGAAAAGTTCAATCTGAGCCGTAGACAGGTAAGCCTGTCATACCTGTACAACTGGATGTCCGGGTTTAAATAAACAAATGTGTGTGTGTGGGCGTGGGAGAGAGAGAGAGAGAGTGGGGGAGAGAGAGAGAGAGAGTGGGAGAGAGAGAGAGAGAGAGAGAGAGAGAGAGAGAGAGAGAGAGAGAGAGAGAGAGAGAGAGAGAGAGAGAGAGAGAGAGAGAGAGAGAGAGAGAGAGAGAGAGAGAGAGAGAAAACCTCAACACTTCCTTGATGCTGTTGCTGTGATCCCAGACCAACTTTTCCATATTCTCCACCCACCTTCGTGTCATCAAAGAAAAATAGGAAAACAATATAGCATAAACTATCAGGACTTTTGTTTTCTTGTTCCCATCAAATAATATATATATATATATATATATATATATATATATATATATATATATATATATATATATATATATATATAGCCTACACACACACGCATTTACGGTTCGCCCTTATCTCACACATCAACCCAACTGAGGTGTGGCATTAACTCACTATAAATTTGGTAAATCATTACATGGTTAAACAGGATGAACCGGGATAGTCTTATTTGCATGACTTAACCAACATGTCAAACTGTCCTCTGTGTCTCGAAACCCTTTTTTCCCCCAGCGAGGTTTAAGGTGCTCACCTGGTTCGTTGGGGTTTCAATACTCTACTGTGAAGGTTTGGCTCGACTGAAGTAAAAATTATTTTGTCCATCATTGTAGCCTACTTGGATTTCAATTCAAGTGGCAAGTTTCAGGCGTGATTAAATAGAATTTCTTCGATGTGTGATAATAGCCTACTTATTTATTTCATAAGCGACTTGGACGTGCGACGTGGTCGTACCAGAACCCGTCGGAACAAGCGTCCTCGCGTCCACGACTCGCTGAACCGACTCATTGAACGGAGAATCATTTCTGTCGGACACGAATATGTCCAATTCATAATAAGCTGCGAACTGATGAGCCAGTGAGTGAACAGATGACTTGACTGAAGTTAGGCCTACTTAGCAGAATGTTAAATAAACGTATTGTGTAGGCTATTGGAAATTATACGACTTTAATGAGAGATTTATAAACACATAGGTCCTAGTAGGCTACAGTGAAGTTTTTTTATACACTGGTCAATTGGAGATTTTAGGTTATTTACATAACTTTTCTTCTGTCAGATGGAAGGAAAACATTCAAAATACAGGCCATTTTCTCAAAATTTGTTTTTTATTTCTCATGCAATGAGCCTGAAATCATTCATTTGTCTTCTGTGGTCATGATGTAGGCTACATTATTTCCTGAATCAGTTTAACCGGTCCTTGAAACGAACTGTTCGAAAGAACCGATTCGGGGAGATGAGTCGGACTTTCCATCAAGCGTAACGTCCTACGTCTTATTTGCTCGACATCACTGTAAACGTACACCAATGCGGTCGGGGGGTGGGCGTGGTTTTAAACAGGTGGGCTGTGTTACCTGTATCGTCGGCTCCACTCCTTTCAAGCACCGCTCAGATACCAAGCGTTAAAATAAAACGTTTAACCAGGAAGGAGGCTATTTGAGCATTTATTTATCTTTCACTTGCATATTTTATTATCTATCTCGGTTAATATCACCGAGAATACACAGCGTCAGCTCTTCAAAATAATGCAACAGCCGTCGTGTTCTGGGAGGTGTTAGTATCTGCGCCAGCCAGGTAACTCTGATCCTCTGTACACCTGCACGCGAGAGACAGGATCTGAAACAGGTCCAGCTTCCTCTTGAGTCCTCCATCATGAAGTTTCCAGCATTGCTGTTGGGTTTTGTCTTGGTGTGCTGTCTGGGCATCGCTGGCTACATCCATAACAGACGGAAGCAGGAACTGCATCTGAATAAACAGGCTTCATTTCTAGATATTAAATTCAGAGTGACCAGGGATGTTCTGGGGGAATACGAAGATCAGTTGATCCTGTCCAACACAGAAATTGAAAAGATTAAGACAGAGGTGGATGCTCTAACCAAAGACGTGTCCCAAGTTAAGACCTTAGTGGCTCAGAAAAAGAGTGACGCTGATAACTGTAAAGGAGACCAGGTGAGTGGAATATGGAGGGATTTTTGTAATGTTTCATTTTTATATTCGCTCAACAATTCATATTCATCTTAGACCTTATTTAAATGCTTCATTGTATTACTATTATAACTGCCTGTATACCTTCAAATACAATGTCTCAATTGTAGGCCTAATGACACTTGTGGTTTATTATAATAACCTCTTTAATTTTTTCTTCTCCAGAAACGACTCACAGATGAAATTGCTGCTTCAGAGTCAGAGAAGAAACAAATCCAGGGTGAGTTTATTTTCAGTTTTAAAAGAAAACTGTAGGCTATGGAAATGTCGAAAATATTGACCAAAAGTAGTATGGAGTAGAAAAACAGCTATTTATGTTCACCCTGCATTGTATATCAGATTAACTATTTGTCATTGATTGTCAATTCCTATGACAATACTCAATACTGCCCCCCGGCGGCAACAATTGCAAGTCAGTCGTGCCTGGATAAATGCCAGCTAAATAAATAATGATGTATATTGTCAGTCTTTGAGTTTTGAAATTGTGCAATTGATTTATTTGTGTTTTAAAGATGTTGACAATAGCCTACGTAATTGTTCGTTTTGTCATTGTTTGTTTTGCTTTGACCTGCTATTGAAAATATCCTCTCAGACATTTTTCTGTTTTCTGTTCCTAGATGAGTTTGTCAAGGATAAGTCTCATTGGGTAACGGAGGATGCTTCTCTAAAAAAACAACTGGAGCAGGAGAGCGCACTCTGCAAGTACATCGACAAGACCTCTGAGGAGGGAAGGTGAGTGGATTTGTATGACAGAATCATTTGTTATGGATCTCCAATCTCATTTAACTATCAGAAAACATGAAGTTAGTTGTGGTTAAATATGTGTAGAACTTGTTTGGTCATTGACAGCCATTGTGTGCTCTGTTCAGAATGTACATATTAACCTGAAGCCTTAATGGGGATTTCACATTGTTACATATTTAAACTTAAAATTGAAAGATTCTTTCTTTTTTTTTATGTAATTGAAATAGAAAATCGATAAAGAGCATTCCATTAACGTTGCTTAACAATACTCCTTTACTTCTCCAAGGAAACTGTGTAACATAATTGAAGAGCCCAAAAAGTCTGAGGCAAAGGAACCGGCAGCAGACAAACCCATGCCTGAGGAAAAAAAAGTTGAAGCGCCAGTAGCTGAACAGCCAAAAGTAAAGGTGGAGTGAAGGAAAACCAAGTGGATTGAGTACGTGTGTGTTAAGGAGACGGAAAACAATACTATGTCAGTATCCGCTGGAGAATTGAATAGGAAGATTAGCTAAAGCTGAACATCTTGCTTGGGTTGATCTCCAACATTCCACAAGCACCTCTCAAATGACAGACACACACTTTCTCAACCATGCACACAACAAACCTGGGTTTGAAGTTCGACGGGTCGGATACCATCATGCGTTCTGTCATATTCCTGGTCTGTTTTGGTTTATAAGAAATATGGGATGACACTTTCAGCTGCATATCTGCTATATCAATTGATTTTGTTGTCCACTTTATTCACAATTAAGTTATGACATTTTCTTTGATCATTTTTTTTTCCTTTCCTTTTTTATACAGTCAGGTTCCTTTGCTTTCTTGGGTGTGTTTGTCCTTTTAAAATTTCTTTATTTCTTCTTTATTTTTTGCCCCCGTTACAGTGTCATTATGACCCTCCCTCAGGCTCATGCATACATGCCCGCTTGTATCGACCAATGGGAAAGCTCTGACCCTCTTACTGTCACTCCTAATTATCCTCACCCTGTTACCCCAGTTACTATTGTTATATAGTCCTTACAACGAGCTTAACCCATCAGGGGCTTCAGTGGAGCAGTTATGAAGTTCAAAGGGTTGCTCTTCAGTGTCATTTGTTATAAGTTTTGGGTTTTATTCTGAAATATTGTGATGCTTAATGTAAAAATAAAGGCTGAGTTTGGTTAGACACTCCCTTTTATGTATTCTTCCAGTAAATGGATGGTTACTCTGATTTAAAATGTTTGCCTAGTCATTGTAATCTAATCTTAAACAGTGTCTTGACAGCTGAATATGTCGTTCTAGGTTGTTTAACCAGTTTGATGGGTATGTAAAAGTAATATCACAATAGGTTTTTCATGTGACATCCAGTTTGAGACAAGACACGACAGAAGTTTTAATATACAGCACCACCTTCTGACAAATCCTTGGCAGTATTTATACATTTGTGTGTTAAACGGAACTGGAATATTCCGGTTTCAATAGAAGTTAAGCTCAATGAAGAGCATGTATGGCATAGTTACAGACATTTTTAGATTCATTTAGCATTTTCTAAGGATTTAATAGCAGAAATGTGCAGCTTATTATTGTATAAATTCACTTGCATAATGGTTTTTAAAAGATTAGTTCACATAAAAATGAAAATTCTGTCATTATTTACTCTTCCTCTTGTCGTTCCAAACCTGTTCAGTGGAACATACAAGAAGATATTTTGAGTATTAAATGTCTTAATGTTTTTCTCTAAACGATGGAAGTCAATGGTAACTTGTGGGGTTGTTAAGGGTGTGGGAGATCAGCAGAAGAACAGAAAACAGCTGTTTCAATGGCGTTAAAGTGCGTGAATAACGGTTGGTATACTCTGCCTTTATAAACCCAATTCCACTGACTTTTTGTTCTTCAGACCGTTGACTTCGGACTGTCTGAACAAACCTGACATAGAAGTTCCTCGCCATAGAAAAGCACTTCTTCAGTGGACGGCATTACAAGCTGCTATTGTGAACGTGGCCGTAAATTATATATTGTTAATAGGAAGCATCACAAAAAAAGAGTTTATTTAAATTAAAAAAATTATGTTCTGATCAATCATTCTCTCATCCTGATCTTTTTCGACCGTCATCACACGGTCTTACCTTCAATGATGCCATTCTGGCATCACAAAAATGTTCATCTTTTTGCTTTTCAAAGAGTGTCAGCCATCTTCAGGCTGTGGGTACAAAGATCCTTCTATATCTGGACAATTGGTTGATCTGTGCACCATGAAGGGTAACACGGTTATCTACCCTGGCGCAATCTTACTGCTTAGGCACGTGTTGGTGCAGTTCCAAAAATTTGTGGGGATGATATCGGCAGCAATAAAGGTAGTACTTCTGGTACTGCTCAATGCACAACCACTGCAGTGGTGGATCAACAAATTTCCACTCCACCCCAAATTACACAGGTGAGTGAAGTTGAAGGTCACATGGAAATGTGTTCAGGCTCTGCGTCAGTGGATAAACAAAGGGAGATTGAACCAAGGGGTTCCTACAAGCAAGGAGAATGGTGGTGACAATGGATGCTTCTCTGACTGGTTGGGGGTGACAGTCTATCTGTCTTTGAGACATTTGATTCAATTCTACAGGAGAAGCAAGAGACTTCTGTTTTGGGCCTACCCAAAACTGACCTCACGCAGTCTACATACCCGGAGTAGTAAACCAGGCAGCCGATCTCTTCTCCCGATCTGGGCCTCCCCCGGGGGAATGGCGATTACACCCAGAGGTGGTGTCTCTGATATGAGCCCGGTTTGGAAGAGCCCATACCGACCTGTTTGCATCAGCCGAGACAACCCATTGCAAGATGTCTTTTTCTCTGAGCGGCCAAGGTGGGCCTTTGGAAATGGATGCACTGTCTCACGAGTGGCCGGGACGATTGTTATACGCTTTGTTGGGACATTGCAGGATCTTTCTGATTGCCCCGAAGTGGCCAAGTAAACATTGGTTCTCACTTCGCAACGTCTGGTTCTAGACCTTCCATGGCTGCTAGTGCTACCAATCAGAGCTGACCTTCTCTCTCAAGTGGAGTGTCAGATCTGACACCCGAAAGCAGCCACGCTAAAACTCTTGAGTTAGAGGAGGCAGTAGTGAAAACCATAAACCATGCTATAGCACCTTCCACTTGGGATAATTACTCAAACAGATGGAGTGGCTTCTCTAATTGGTGTCAGGACAGAAACCTGGACCCCATTAATTGTGGTCTTGATTCTATTCTATGCTTTCTTCAGTCACTTTTAGATTCAGGAAAACAAGTCAACACAGTGAAAGTTTATGTTGCGGCTATTTCTCATTTCCACGGTATTGTGGAAGGCTTATCAATTGGTAAACACATGTTGGTGTCTCAATTTCTTAAAGGAGCACGTCGCCTCTATCCTGAAAAAAGTTAAGATCACCACCCTGGGATATTCCCATGGCTCTAAAGTCATTGACTAAATCCCCGTTTGAACCATTGGCCCAGGCAGATCTTAAATCACTAACGTGCAAAACAGTTTTCCTTCTTGCTATCTGTTCAGCAAAAAGAATGGGCGCAATGCATTCTTTAACAGTAAGTGAGGACTGTGAGGTGGAAAGCAGATTATTCAGGGGTCTCTCTTTGGCTGAACACGGCTTTCTTGCCTAGGTTCTTAATCCTCGCATGAACAAGTAATTCTCTTTTAAGTCATTTTTTTAACTCTTTTAAGTACAGGGCTTGATATCTCTACCTTGTGTCCAGTTCGAGCACTTCGCACTTACATTGAGCACACACAGTCGTTGCAACATTCACACGCTTAGCTGTTTGTGTGTTTTGATAAGAACATGATGTTGGACAACCTGCCTTGAAACAGCTCCTATCACGTTGGATAGTAGACAGTATTGTACAAGTGTATTCCAGCCAGAGCTTACCAGTTCCAGGGAAGTTAGTGGCTCATTCTAAGTGTCTGGCCACTCGGCACTGAAGGAAGAGGCACTTACGGACATATGTGCAGCGGCCTCATGGAGCTCATCTTGTACCATTGCCAAGTATTACAGGGTCAATGTGGCATAAAGAAGTATTCAGTACACCCGGATGTTATAAAGGGAACCAACCACTTAAGGTCAGTCATTTGAATTAGTTTACATTAGGTCTCGAGGAAAGGCAGCACAATAGCACAAAATATGTGTTCTGCAGAAGAAAAATGCATAAAGGTTTGGAGCAACATGAGGGTGAGTTAATTTCTGGTTAAATATCCTTTACATTGTAATTTCCACGGTCGTTATAGGGTTTATGTTTACGTTAAATCATGTAACAGTTGCACCAAAGTAAAATTGTATATAACTTGACAGAAAAAAGGGTTACACTTTATTTTACAGTATACTTACAGTGTACTTACCCAAGAAAGTATTGGTTATTATAAGGTTAATGGGTTAAGGTTAGGTTTAGGGGTAGGTTCAGGGTTAGTACCTAACCCAGTTATTGTAATTGCTAATAAGTACATAGTAATGGACATGCGGAACAGGACTGTAAAATAAAGCGCTACTGAAAAAAGTTACTAAGATAAATCATTTTGTATATCTCTTGTTGCTATACTATTGAAACTATTGAAATTTTTACCAATTGGCCCCATTCACTTCAATTGTAAATGCATCACTATAAGTTTTATTTTTAAAAAGAAAAGAAGGGACAAGTAGAAATTAAGTGAATACGGAATACTCTAACAATGCTATTTTATTAACTTTTTATTTTCAGTTGATAGGTTTTAAAATATTAAAAGTAATGAGTAAGCCTTCCTCTTTTTTCATGGTTTTCTTTGGTAAATCACAGAACTGACCATATGTGAACTTAATTGGCTTAGTATCTGCTCCCATTGTGCGTGTAACACCCATCCCCTCTCTTTTTTGTTTCTCTTTCTCTCTCCCCTTTTTCTTCTTCTTTTTTTTTTGTTACCCCGCAGGCTCACAATTAGGGGAAGCAATTAGTGTCTCTCTTCCGCCCCATCTCGTTCAGAAGGTCATTGTGTACAGCGGGACTCGGAGGGAGGGGCAGAAAGCTGATAACATCTGCTTCATCTCTGATTCTCTGATGAAATAGAGATAATAAATATATTGTTTTGGGTTTGTCTTATGTAACCTTTTAATGTGTTTAATGCAAATTTAAGCATGTAGAAAACAACTGTTCTGCTTCAGCAACAGGAAAATGATATGCTTCCAGATATCAGTCCAGACATATTAATCTAACAAAGTAGAACGTATAACTGTTTTTTTAATAGACAGAGATATTTTTTGTTCATGAATGTTACATTTCAGACAAGATATATGACATGGAATTACAAAAAGGACATGATAGTATACAGTATTTTGTATAATGATTTTTTTGTGGTGTCACAAAGAAATATTTGGTAAAATGCAAAATGTATTAAAATGCAAAAGCTTCTAGTAGACATTGTGCTGTGCCTGTATAGTGCACTGGTCTATTGCAATTGTTCTAAATACAAATAATTAAATAATAAGATATAGTATGGAGATTATCAACAAAGGAGGGAAAATCTATCATTTAAATTTGTATAACTTTGTTTTTAATTCATAAATGCACTTTTTCTGTCCTTTAGCTAGTAGGCCTACATCAAATTTTATTCCAAACAAGTGTTGTATTTAAATGAGTTATATTGTAAAGTTGTTGTCCGAGTCTTATTTGTAATTTGTGTTATTACATTAAACACTTAATGATGC